TGTATTCTTCTAGGACAAGGATTCATTCATTTACTAAGATGGGATCACTTTTTCTAACTTGAGCATTTATTTTATTGCAGAAAATAAGGCAGTTGGAGTCATGAAGCCAGGTCACGTGTTTACAATTGAACCAATGATCTGTGAAGGTGAGCAATTTAGCGATAGAGTAAAATGGTTACTCTTGTTTACTATTAAGTAGTGATGGAATAGGATGCTGGTTCTATTCCGTATAGTAGATAGATTTTTTTCACGTCTCTTTGGAGAACTGATATCTGTTACTTAAAAACAGTCAAAAAGTCATCATTTATGTTTTTAGGTGGTTGGCAAGATGAAACATGGCCTGATGGTTGGACTGCGGTAACAAGAGATGGAAAGCGATCTGCCCAGTTTGAACACACTCTTCTGGTCACTGATACAGGCTGTGAGATCTTGACCCGGCGGCTGGATAGTATTCGTCCCCATTTCATGTCCCAGTGATAGTCTAGACTGAGCAGGTGGATCTGAACGATACATTTTTTTTTTTTTTTTGTCTCTGTACTATGCATTTTTTTAAGAGTACAGAATAGAGAGATTTCATCATTTACTTTGTTCTCAGTGATTGTAGATAAGAGGAATATCTTGAAGAACCTGACCCAATGTCTGGAAAAGCAGAGAAGAACTTAAAGAATTTCCTGCTTTCCTCCTACCTACAACACTCGTGCTATATTTTTCTTATTTCTTCAGTTATCTCTTTAGCACCTTTCTTCCAATTAGACCCACAATTGCTTCTGTTGCTGCCATGATATTAGCTAGAAAAGTGTGGGTAACCTTTCCCACTGGGACTTGATATTTTGGGATCCAGGTTTTTTTCACCACTTCAGTGTGCCCTGTCTGGTATGTGAGTGGCACCTGAGATTTTAAGCATTTCTAGTTCCAAAGACTTGCTCCTGCTTCTGCAGATACTGTTCTAATGGGCTGGGCCTTGTTTGTTTGTCAGTTGAGAAGGGGGCAGAAGGGAGAAAGACATGCATGTTGCCAAGAATAGGCTACCCTTACCTTTAATTCTGTCCCCATCTCTCTGCTGATGGCCTCTGTGCTGATTGTGACTGTAGGTGACACACTGTGTTAATGGCAGGACTTGTTTCTCTTGCTGGAGATTTGATAGTATGGGCTTCCTACAGGGAAAATTAATAAATTCTGTCTTTATATGCAGCTCCTTGGAATAAGCTGCTTCTCGGTGAAGCAGTATTTGCAGGCAGTCTCCTGCTCCAAAAGCTTGGTGAAGCTGATGTATCAGACTTGCCTAGGTAAAGGAACGAAACAAGAACCAAAAAGATCCCACGATTGATGGGATCCCTGTGTGTGTTAACTGTGGGGCATTTTTTAAAGGTACATCCGCAGTAGCTGTGGGGGATTGGATTTGCAAGAGTTAGAGTGAAACGAGTGTATCTCAAAACAAGTCTGAGTGTGAGAAAATGAAACACCTTCAATGCTGTGTTCATTTTCTTTTGGTAATTTTTAAACAGGTCATTTTTTTCCCCCTCAGTTAAGTGAGTCTCATGCTTTTGGAAAGTCTTAGCGGGGCAGCTATGAAAGCTAATCTTTCTTCCTCAGACTGGGTATAGAGTGGGCAATGCTAGTCTATATACCCCTTTATTTTCTGTTAATGGGTCATGAGGAGCTGGAAACGGTCATGTTAAGGAGTGTGGATTGATTAAGCCTCTCTTCTCTCTACCCTTTCTTTTCCCATGCCCACTTCCTTTCCTTCATCTTTTGGTGTCTCTGCTGAGGAAATTTATTTTTTTTTTCTGATTTGTAATGAAAATTTTTTCAGACCCCATTGCAGACTTAGTCTTACACCACTGTAATACAAGAAATAGTTAAACCAATGCAGATGTTAAATCATACAATCATGGGCATAAAATACACCTTTACAAGGTGTCTGGTGAATTTGTTGCCACATTAGACCCAAGCATATGAGGTACTGCATACCCTTGGCTCCCCTTGGCACTGCAGAATTTAGGTGGGGGAAAGGGGTTAGTGCTTCATAGAACTGGACTCGTGTACTACCAAATACCAAATTTGCCAGAAAATGTCTTCTCTGCCCTGAGTGCCTCAGACCTCTGTTGCTGTAAGAGTATCATTGCAATGTTTTCATTACCTTTATTATTATTTTTAATTATGCAGTAAAGTGACCTGAAATGATGCTTGTAGAGCGTGTGTGTGTGCGTATGCGTGTGTGTGTGTGTATAGATTTTAACAAACCAGACTGTAGTACTTGAGTGGAATTACCTGTGTTGAATGAGATGTGATGTATTGAGGAGATGACTGTCCTGGAGGTTTGCCCACCATATCATTCACTTGAATGGTTACAACGGTCTTGCCTTTTCTATATGTGTGTGTATGATGGGGGGGCTTCATTTTTGGTCTATAAAATAAAAGTTGCAGCTGCTTTTAACAGAAATAATTTTTTTTTTTTTTTGTGATCCAAAACCAGACATAGCGTTCTCAGTTATATCCAGGTTTGCTTGCACTAGTGCAAGCCTTACTGGTAGATGCATGCAACCAGTTAAAAATCACCCTTAAACGTGCACGCGTGCCACTTGAATACTTCTTTGATGTTGCACCAGTACAACCAAATTTGACACTGCACGTTTTTAATGTAGGTAATCTATGATACTGTGCATTTCTGCCTATAAATTGAAATCACAGCATGAAAACTGTTTATACTGACTTGATACTACCACAGTATTTTTAAACAAGTGGAAAGCTTAGTCAGCATCTACACCAGTTCTTTCAACATGAGATAGCACATCAGCCTGGAGAACAAAACTTATTTAATAAAAATATTGTGAAAGGCTATCACCTATCTAGCTGTAACTTTGCTTGAACATGACATACTAAACTTGTGCTGACTGGACTTGGGAAATGATCTATTTTTGATTCTTACAGAAGTTTCTATCCACTTAAATAAAAAAAACCAAAACAAACCAAAACAAACCGAATCTACTTTCTAATGAAATTTTTAGAAATTCTGTACACTTTTGCCGAAAACACAATCCTGCAGTTAGTTCTGAAACACTTTCCCTTTCCCTGAAAAGTATTATACTTTCCCTGAAAGTATTTTCCCTTTACTATCATATAAGAGAGTGTGGAAACTCTTCGTGCTGCTTCTGCAAACTGACATGAATATTTAGGGGAGAAGATTTGATAGCTAATGTTGAATAAAAGTAACAGCACGAGGAGAGGGGACAAGCTGCATCTTTTACAGGACAGCCTGCAGAGTACATGCACATTTCATGTACAGTCATTTAGTGGAAACTTTGTCCATTGAAGTCCTTACAGTTGTCAAGATGGTACAGTTCAATACAGTACCTTGATCACCACGAATGGGGTACAAGCTCTTGTGTTTATGATTCCCTTTGTTAGCTGAGCAACTTCAAAGAGACTACTTCAAACATGCTCCATTCAATCAGTTCCTTTGCTGGACAAAGTAGTCTCAAAACTCTGCTACATAAGGGCTAGGACATCAATTCTTCTAGGGGCCGGGAAGAAGCTGTAAGTCTTTGACTTGAGTGCTCTGGTATCTCTAAATGTCTTTGTTGTTGGCTTACCCTGGTATTACAAGACTAGTTTTCCACAAACACTCTAAAATGCAGGTTCTCTAAAGTAATAATGTAATGCAGACAACACAATTGTACAGTCTTGATCTAGTCTGTGCAGCCTAGAGGAACAACTGGTACAGTATAAATATTTTAAATCTGTTAGATCCAGATGGGGGCTTGTTTTGCTAAGATGTTGAGCTAATATTTTATTGATATCAACTTGTAGTTATAGAGTACTCCTGCTGGAATGGCTTGACAGCAAGTTTTCTACTGAATTCTTTAATGTTCAGCCAGCGTTTCTGGAGCTACAAGGTACTGAGGATCACTTCACTGCTCTGTCGGAGGGCTCGCTTTCCTGGTACAAATTCACTTTTTATTTCTTCTGGATGCTCAAAATTGAATTCTCATTACATTGATGGGAGTTAACTTTGTTGTTTACTTTGTCTGAAATGAAGTTAGAAATCCAGCAACCTCAGCTATTTTTAGAATGCTCTAGGGATGTCTTTCCAATGACAAATGGAGAAGATGTAATTGTCCCAGTTGTATAGCGGTGTCTTGGGTAAGGTAGTTGTTAGTGGCGAGAGGCAATTTCTTCTAATAAGATTACTGTTTGCATTCAGAGTTCTCTGTAACAGTTGTTTTGACCAGGCTCCCTTAAAACATTAAACTTCTCTCTTAATCAGTGTCCTTGGTTCACTGAAAAGCACTGACTTTTTATGTATATAACTTTTCTTTAACTGGGTAGGCTTTCTGCCTCTGCTTTGCAGTCTATTTTCTGCTGTTCCTCTGTTTTTCTGGACCTGTGGCACTGCTTACAGGTTTCAATTCAAAGAAATCTTATCCAGACAAATCACTTCAACTATAGTTAAGAAAAAAACGTGCAACTCCAAAATTAAGACTTAACTCCTCCACCAAACAAACAAAAAAATCCCAGAAAACCTTGAAGCCTTCATCACACAATGCTAATGGTCCCCTGCACCCCTCAAGAGCAGGCTGCTGCTCTAATAATAACATTCCCTGCTTCGATGGCATGATCGTGTTTCTGACTAAATAGAGGTAACAGTCCCATGTTGTGTGTTTTTGCAATGTTGGCTGCAAACCTGCTTCAGTTGTCAGTAAGTTTAAGGAAATGGCACAACTGCTACTGACGTTTTGGACGACACCACTGGGGCAAGTGACTAGGGTAGTCTATGCTACCATCTTTACAACAGGCCTGCCTACAGCTACTGTAATGAGCCAACTAGGAAATAAGGCAGAATATGGACTTCCCAAGTGAAGATGGGTACACCTGGACACTTAGGTCATACATCCAACCACACTCTGCTCTATGGTTGGCTTCCAGGTAGAGCTGGATGGTACGTCCTTTGTCGTCCTAGAATAGCCTCAGAAGCTTGACAGCTGTTGGAGTTCTTGCTACTCTCTCAGTAGAGAGAGTACCAATGCTGCTGCTCAACCCAGCTGCGCTTAGGAAACTGCCTAGTGTAATGAATCCCACATCATTTGCTGGTGACTCTGAAGAATGCTTTTGCTGTCATGTACACACCTACTGTAAAAAATCACTAGAGGAAAACAGTAAGACACAGCAATCATAGTCACAGTCTTAATGCTCAATAATTCCAACACTGTGTTTAGAAATAAGCTTTTATTAAGTAGATTGAGTTAGGCACTATTAAATTTGAAGAACAAGTACAGAAATAGTTGTTCTACAACCAGTGTTAATTATATAATGCTGTTCAGTGGTCACTGATTTTTTTGTTATTTAATATTCAGAATCCTCACCCTAAAATACATTGTCTTTCCAGTCCCAGTGAGTTTTCATTTGCTTGATTCTACTCTCTATCAGAAATTCCATTAGAAAAGGACGGTTACCATGTTGCTGGCCCACTGGAAGGTCCACATTTGGCTCTAAAGCTTTAGGACAGTTCGAATGCTTAAAATGGAAAAGAAAAAGAAAAAAAAAATTACCAGTAAGTCCATTTTCTCTCCTTCTCTCCCCTCCCTTTCACTGCTGAGACATACTTCAACTTAACTTCTATCTCTTGTAAGAATGAAGTTATGCTTATGCCTATATTTATTAAAAATCCTGGGTAAAAATGGGTTAGTAAGGCTTGTTATCTTTCCTTTTTTTTGTCTCTCCCCCAGTAAGATATACTCAAAATGGAAGCTTTTTCAAACTACCTAAGTGTCATTTTTCAGTAGCTAGCCAAGAACATTGATCAGGAACATTAATATATACAGGCACTCCCTCTTTTGGCTGCTTGGAGAATTTTAAGTAACTTTCACTATTAGTTTCATAGGACATGCTCATGTAGGAATAAAGCACTAAAATGATACAGAAGTTTGTAACTGGGAAAGGAGATCAACTGCTGGATGAAATTTGCATAGATGCAATGTTTCCAATTGTAAAAAGTACAAATGCAGCTACTGTTAACTGACTTGTCCAAAATAGGAATACATATGTGATA